ATTTGGCATGTTATTATGAAATTTATTATTTATTATTCAGTAATGTTCACATATCCACAGTAGGCACATGTTAATATGTTTATCGTATTCACTCATTGGTGATATATTTGTTCAAATATATTAACATTACCAATATGTGTATACCATATAAACTGTGAACATATTATCATGTGCTGACCGTAGGTGAGAGAGCATTATTATTTATTTTTTATTTATATTTATTTACAGTTTAGCAAGTAAATGGGTCGAACAACCTATCGTTTAGGTGAGTCAATCTGTTATATTATATATTATTATACAAACAAATATTCGTAGTTGCACAATTAATCACTTTTGTTTATATTGTTTTTTTAAAGTATAATATTTTTCTAATAAAAGTATGTAAATTTGGTAAAAAAGTATGTTTGTTTAATGGCTAGGTAGTCTAATATATGACATATTTGTTGAATATTAGTATTGTTATACAAGTTATAATTAATGAATAGTATTTAAAAGATAAAATTTGATTTTAAGAGCTTACTTACAAAATTAAAATGTTAGTAAGTTCTTAAATTAGAGGGAATCAGAAGCAGTTGATGTTTTAATTTTGTAGACAAAATTGATACATTTCACTTCGGTCCATGTTGGGTAGGTATAAGCCTCGTTTGGTTAATAGTTTTTTTGCCTAAAAAATAGCGTTTCCAACACTTAGCTTAGTTGACCATTTTCATCAGCTAAAAATATGGTTTGGTAAACATCTTACACATTTAGCGTTTTCGAGTCTATTGGCTAAAATTCAATACGTTGTTTTTCGGAGTGTTTTCATTAAAGTGTTTCAAATGTTTCAAAGATATGAAATACAAAGCCTTGAATGTGCTTGCCTTTTTTTTCTTTTTCTTTTTTTTTTCTCTCTCATAGCTTCGTTCTTCAAATTAAGATTATCTTCTCATACAAAAAATTGCTCTTGATTAGTATTGCTATTTAATTGTTCCAATTTTAGTTTTTTTAGTAAGCAAGTGGTGAAAAATGAAGTGTGTTAAAAAGACTGGCCAAGAG